GGTGGCTTCCTTCCCAGGTGTCTATTATGGACCTTTATTCTACAGATCCCTAGAGAATGACAAGACGATTGCCTTAAAGTCTAATGGCTGGAACCTAGATGGTGGTATGACCATCTCACCCCTTGCCAGGGAGGATTTGAGATGGTGGATTTCAGATATTGACCACTGTCCCAATCCTGTAATCTTACAGCCACCTACCATAACTCTCAAAACTGATAGTTCCCTAAAGGGATGGGGTGGCATAATTGAGGGTTCTAAGTTATTAGCAAGGGGCAGATGGTCAGCTGAAGAAGCAAACCATCACATTAATTACCTAGAAATAAAAGCAATCTTTCTGTCACTCAAAGCACTCTGTGGACACCTGCGGGCAAAGGCCATTAAAATACTGTGTGACAATACTACAGCAGTATCATACCTTCAGCATATGGGAGGTACACATTCCCTTCAGTGCAATGAAATTACAAGGGAAATTATTCTTTGGTGTAGAGAAAGAGAATTAACATTATCCATATCCCATTTGCCAGGCAAACTCAACATAGAGGCGGACAGAGCTAGCCGAGATTTCCATAGCAATACYGAATGGTCTCTTGACTTAGTTTGCTTTCAGAGCCTGGCAGCTAAGTGGGGAATGCCTGAAGTGGATATGTTTGCTTCCAGATTGAATTATAAGGTTGAAAAATATATTGCCTGGAAGCCTGACCCAGGGGCAATAGCCATTGATGCMTTTACTGTTGACTGGGCAAAATATCAACTGATATATTGTTTTCCCCCTTTTAGCCTGATAGGGAAAGTCCTTCAGTACATACAACTAAGCAAAGTTATGGCAATCTTGGTGGTCCCACAGTGGGAAACACAGTTCTGGTACCCACGCTTACTTCAAATGATGCAGGATCAGCCTGTCAAGATAAACAACCACAGCCAAACATTAACACTACCTTACAGCCCAAAGGAAGTGCACCCTCTGTATCCGAAACTAAAACTCATTGGCTGTCTTGTGTCAAGTCTGCCTTGACCAGCCAAGGAGTATTTGGTGAACCTCTTGACATTATATTGAAATCATGGAGAGAGGGAACTCATAAACAATACCAGACTTACATTTCATCTTGGGTTCAGTTCTGCAAAGATAACAATGTTAACCAGTTACACCCTGAACTACAACAGGTCCTAGACTTCCTGACTCAGCTCTCTAAGAGGATGAGCTACAGTGCTGTAGGAACAGCAAGAAGTGCACTCTCCACCTTCATTACAGTAGATGGTGTGAAAGTAGGAAGCCACCCTGTAGTCTCCAGGTTCATGTCTGGTTTGTTCAATATAAAACCTGCATTACCGAGATACTTAGAGAGCTGGGACCCACAACAAGTACTCACCTTTTTAAAGGATTTTCCAGTTGTTGAAGATTTATCTCTAAAGCTCCTAACATTGAAAACGGTAATGATAATGGCACTAATATCTGCTCAGAGAACTCAAACACTACAAAAGTTATCTCTTGATAGCATGACAGTAAAGCCTGATGAATACTCTTTCAGAATCACCTCATGCCTTAAACAGACAAGTGCAAGAGGTGGAAAGAACCGCCATCTGCATCCCATCGTATTTAAACGTTACAGTTCAGACAAAAGACTTTGTATTGTGACTCTGCTAAATGTATATATCACAAGAACAGCTGCCATTCGTAAGAATACCAGACAACTTCTGATTTGTCATGCAGAGCCTCATGGCCCAGCATCTAAAGACACTATATCTAGATGGTTAAAACAGACAATGAAGGCAGCTGGCATAAACACTGATATCTTTAAAAGCCACAGCACAAGATCAGCATCTACTTCAGCAGCTAAAGCAGCAGATGTCCCCATTCAGAACATAATGACCACTGCTGGGTGGAGATCAGACTCAGTGTTTGCAAAGTTTTATGACAGACCAATCTATAGAGAGAACAAATTTGCTGAAGCAGTTTTAACCAAATAACTGACTTTATTATTCTCTGAGATTCAGTCTAGATTTAGTATATCATACTCTAGCTTTCTAGGCTTTGGGTTATGACCTATGTATGTTCTAGTGGAACAWAAAATACAATTTATACATGTTGCTGCTTGGGCTATGTGTGGTTGATTTTGGGAGCCTTTGAGCTTTAAAATCTCACGTGACCTTCGAGTGTATGCAAATGCGAGGTAGAATTGACAAATTAAACGAGACTTACCTAAGTCGAAGTTGGATTGAGATTCTACCGTAGCATATGCAGGAATGAGGAGGTCACATCCCACCCAAGCCCTATACTGTTGCCCATGATACTCTACACATAGAATATTTATTTTCAAAGTCCCCCAAAATCGCTTTAAAGACTGAGCTCGGATACTCAATGCTTGCTATCTCACGTGACCTCCTCATTCCTGCAAATGCTACGGTAGAATCTCAATCCAACTTCGACTTAGGTAAGTCTCGTTTAATTTTTCAATTTTCTAGACCCAAATGGTTCTTTCTTCGTCTGGGATAAGAAGCTGGGTTTCTCTAAACTTTCGATGATTACAAAGCAATGTATTCTAGATGACATAGGCACATTTTTCACGACATACTTACGAACCCTTTTCGTATTTTTCTGCTTTTGTGTAAAAGACCTGTGAGCTGTTTGACTGGAACTCTACTTGGTTCTTGACCACACGAAACAAAACGAGGCTTGTGCTCGACATGAGTAAGGAATTTAGCATAACGAGACCTGCATTCCTTTGATAAATATGATTCTTTATTGGGATGAACAAATACAGATAATTGTACAGCTTTTGCGAATATATCGCAGTTATGCCGTAAAGAGTTTGCCAAAGTCTTTGTTGACACCTTTATGAAATGTTGTACAACCAACACTGCTGAAATCATGCACAAGGAAACGATCAAACACTCGTAATAATAGCTGAACGAACGATAAACTACTGAAGGAACTGTTCAAAATTGCAAACAAAATAATAAACAAAAAACTTATCCTCACTGTTATTGATGTAAGTCCAAGAATTCTTGATTCTGGAAACGCATTTGTTATCTAGAGAGATTCCAATATGGCGTCCATGTTGCTTTCTCTCATCAGACCGCCGAGCAAACCGCAGACCGCCGAGCAGCGCAGGCTTACACATTTTCGACAGCTAATGGCAAGCCGATTGTAGCAATATTCAATCCTTTTACATTCATTTAATCAAATCTTGAATGTTCATTCAATGTAAAACTCTCAATAAATATATATTCAATTCAATCCTCAAGACAAACATATATGCAATCATTACTCAAAATTTCCCTTCAATCCAAACCTGAGCAAATTCACATTCAATCCAATCCTCAAGCGATATTCATGCATGATCCTTGAATACTTTGTTCAATATTCCTAGGGCGAGTCCCGTGATGTCCAAATGGTGTCATGTGACTCGATTTTCCCGCCGTTGTGTGACGGTAGTGTAGTGCATGTTAGGCCATGTCCACACGTATCCGGAAATTTTTGTATCCGCAATTTAATTTTTGCGGATACGAAAATGTTTGCGTCCACACTTAGCGTATTCGAATCGTTTTCGCCGTCCACACATATCCGTTTTCGGAAGAATTTGTGGATACGGACACAAAATTCCGGACACGTGTGGACGCAACCCGTATCCGCAAAAAAAAATCTGCGGATACACAAATTTGCGGATACGTGTGGACGGGGCCTTAGGTTGCTTGTAACATAAGCCTGTCCAGAGGTTGTCCCATGATTTGCCATATAAGTTTTAATAATATTATCCAACTCTTCGTATGGTAAACAATGAATAAAGTAGAATATTTGTAAAAGATGCATCTTTTAGTGACTTCATTTAGAAAAAAATCGTTCGACGATTTTTTGAATGCCACTTTCATCGATATTTTCTATCGCTTTTGACAACAAATGGGGTTATTTAGCTTCATAACAAAAAATCCATAACGTTAGAAAGAAAGTCACAATTTGATTCATACTCAATAAGG